TGTGTGTGTGTGTGTGTGTGTGTGTGTGTGTGTGTGTGTGTTTAAATGGAACATTTAAGCAACTCTTCCTGGTAACATTTATTCTTTCTTGAAACACAGGCTCAGTGTATCAGATTACTTTTTTACCACTTTTTGTTACACTAAGATGACATCTAAAACATGTGGGCAGAGGGTGTAGAAGACAGAGTGCTAGAGGTGAGAGCTGGAGTTCAGGAGCATCGGATACTTCATCTCCTCCAATCCCTTTCTGTTTGGTGCCCAGGCTCCCTGAAAATAGACAGTAATAAAACTGTTTTTTGTTTGTTTGTTTGTTTGTTTTTATTTTTGTTTTCTCTTTAGGGCTTGTACCTGCTGGGACTTCCTAATGGTCTGCGTTTGTACTGATGCTATCTCTCAGATCTGGTAAAATTTTTCATTCAGTCGTGTCCTAGATTGTCTCAGAAATGTCTTCTACTGCTGTGTCACTCTGTTCCAGCTAGTTAGATCCATTGCCAGTTTCTCAGCCATTTCTGGTCCCTGTTTAAACGTACATGGACTGTGGATGGTTTAGGAAACTGAATATCAGGGTCTCAATTCCCCTACACGACAAGTAGATGGGAGTCTATAAAAGGATCTTATCCAGGTGTTATCGTAGAATCTAAATTGGAGAGGCAGCAGCCCTCCTCTGCCTTGTTTTCCTATGACCTTACCTCACCATTGCCCCAATAAGCCAGCACTCATCCCCACCTGTTTTTGCTCTAATGCAAACCTTCAGGCCTGCCTGATTAAAACATAGGATTTAACGGTAAGGTATAGAAAGTAGAGGAAAGGTGCTGAGGAAGCAGAGGGATCTGTGTCTTCTGAATGAAGTGCTTAAGGGCGGAAGGAGGAACACAGTCTGGAAAAGTCTCTCAGAGTTGCAGTAAGTCCTATTTTGCTTGTCTACAGAAGAATATTTGCTTATCCTTTCTCTTTGGACCCTTCCAGTAAAGAGTCTTATGGTTCTCCATGTCCTGCAGAGGAGGTTTCAAGTTGCCTAGGAGATTGTGTATTATGAAAGACAAAAGATACACTGTCTTCAAAATATAATCAATTCTGCAATCAATCAATTCTTTTCCACATAAGCTTTGTCAAAGGTAGTTCTTGGCTTTTTTTTTTTCAACAATGAGCTTCTGGATTTATTTCTTTGAATATATTTCTATGTTCTATTTTCTTTGTTTTAAAATCTCTTTTTATTCAATTTCTTGAAGTGTGTACTTGAGTTGTGTTTTTTCTGTTTCCTTTGTAATGTAAATATCTACTACTATGAATTATCCTTTGAATGCAGCTTTGGGCTCATTCATTTAAAAATATGTTTTAGTTTTATTTTTTGTAGTACTAGAGATTGAATTCATAGCCTTGTTCATAGCGTACAAATGCTGTGCCACTGACCCCTAGCCATGGACTCAAGATTTCTTAAGTTTGAATATATATACTATTCAAACTTTAAAAACTACATATTCTAGAGACTGGAGAGATGACTCAGGGGCTAATTGCATAATGTTCTTGCAGAGGATCCAGTTTGAATCCCAGCATCCACATCAGGTGTATCACAACCCCCTGTAACTCCAGCTCCAGGAGGATCTGACATCTCTAGCCTCTGTGGGCACTGGCACTCACATGCACATATCCTCATACAAACCCCCACACATGTTCATAATTTTAAATAGTAAAGTAAATCTTTAAAGAAGATAAGAATACGTGTTCTAAATTGTGTATAGTGACATTTGTTTACACTGACAAATTATATTTTGGTTTTATATCATACTTTTTGGGATATTAATTTTAAATTTCCAAGTACTTAGAATTTTTCTTAAATGTTATTTTTTCTTTAATAATATTAATTTAATTTTTGATTATAAAAGAAATCCATCAACAGGCTGCTGCAGTATCATAAGCGAGTTCTCAAATGTTCAATTATTGGAAATGAGGAATTGGATTATCATGAGGCTAGTGAAATGGCTAGCACAGGTGTCAGTGCAGGTAATTTGGAGTTCTAGAACCCTTCACCGGAACCATGCAGATGTTGGCTATGGTTTGATACCCTTTGGTAGCAGTTTCCAGTGGGGCTTATCAATGGTGATGAGTTTGGATCAGATGGCTGACTGAGATTTTCTGGATAGCAGCAGATATTCTTTGAATGTCCTGGCTAGTTGGTGCCTGACTTGGCCCATCTGGGCAGTGAGTTTTCCAGAGTGTGGGGCCTCCACCTGATTTGCCTGCTGTTCATTTAATGACCTTTCTCTCTTGCTTCCTGTGACCTTGCCTTTTTGCAGAGGTGCTTGGCAAGTCCCAGTTTGAGAACTGGGACTAGGCAGAGTTCAGATGTCAATTATGTTATGTTCCAGTTCTCTTTATCATAGGGATTGTTATTGCAGACCTCATATTACATGTTTTTATGACACACAGGAAAGGAAAAAAATTAGTCATTTCAATACCCGAAAGATAGCTACTATTCATCTCTTGTTACCTTTTCAGTGTTTTTTCTGATAAAGGTTGACGACATTAAACAACATCTGAACTTTTGTTCCATGGTGTTAGTTTTCTTCTGCAGCATATTTTAAAGGCACTATTAGAATGTATCCTAATGGACTTATTCTCTCATTTTGTACACGTGGGTCATTTATCATCTTTGATTTTGGTTTATACTCTGAATGTGCTTAGACCTTTGAATATTTGAATAACTCGTAAAAGTAAAAGAGCTAACAGCGCAGAGCACATGAACATTTAAAATGCTCAGACTTGTCTGACAACCTGTCACAGTATCTGTTCCCAATTTATGCTCATTTA